ACAAGTCTTACTCCAAAATACTTTTATTAAACTGCACTTACCATTAAGGCTGAGATTTGTTAACATCCCCTTTGCTGCTGGATGACTCATCTTCAAGCTACATACATTCTTTTAAAAGTTATAATAACTAGTCGTGCTAGTCAGTAAGCAACATACAATAAAGCTTGTAGGYCCAAACATACATAAAATACTTCATATAGTAACTTCCTGCTAAAGACAGCTGCAGAAAGTCCACCTATTGACTGAAATTATAACACTAATAACTATGTTCCAACCCCGCTGAGGTTCTCGTGGAACAGCTATTGGGCAGTTCATTCAAACTATCATCATGACTAGGTCTCATTAGCAATCTTTTCTTCCAAAAACCACACGGTTCTATTCCTACATTAAACCCAACTTAAAGAACACTGAGCAAGCCTGACATTTGGGAAGAGGATGGAGGCCAGTCTTCCTGKTGAGCTATAGGCTGAAGTTTCCTACTCACCATGAGACTATATAGAGCTTTTGAATAGGATACGAGCACAGTTTCCTAGAAGTCTTGGAACACAAAGCTGACACTGGCAAGAGAACCTGCCACAGCCCTCTACAATACCCGGAACAGCAGAGGAACAGGAATATGGTTCATCTGGCTAATGTACTCAGACTAAGAGCATTTTGCAACTGTAAATTATGATGTCTCTTACAATGAAAAAATCTGCTCACCATACTGCCAAGAGCCAGTGAGTATCCAATTTTTGAAACACCAACTGTGTGTATTCYCAGTAAGCAGGTCTTTGGGCAAAGAGCTATTCTAGAAGCCCTGCCATTTAAAAAAGATGAATAAGCCCCAAATCAGCACAGCAGCTATGCCACATTCTCTACCTTCTGGGGAAGGACTAACTCTTAAAAATGTACTGACCATGTAAAAGCAAATATGCCAGGAAATATGCACCTTTCAGCTGAAGRTCCATCACTTTTTATTCATCAAAAGAAAGAGGTCAGTGTGCGAACACTTCCAAGCAACAAAGCCAGATGAGAAACGCTCCTGGATTTCAGTCAGCCCAGTAACCAGCAGCCTGTTAAGCTCGTTATTCCCTTCTAGCAATCCATCTTCTACAGACCCACCACCCCTGCTGGCAAAGGCAGCAATTCCAGAGGCTTTCTCACCCTCTCCGAGGCCGGGAAAAGGTCTTGCACCCTCATTTCTAGCACGAGGGAATGAAATTCCATCCTGGCTAGCACAGTGCTATTCATAACATAAATACCTGTTTCGCAGCTTGGCTCCCTGACCAACCACTTTGCATGTCCAAAGCCCAAGTGCATTTCCTACGCTAAATGGAAAGTGACTGCCAGACAGACTGCAAACCTTTCTGCGTGATAGTCCTTTCAAACTCAATATCTGACCAGGGATGGAACAATCAATTTCTTAAATAAGAAACATCTCTATAAAGTATATAATGAAAAGTCCAGCATGTCTCTCTAGCATAAAATTATAGCAGGCAACATCACAAGCAAGGAAGGCAGTGCAACTAACAGGTTTGATATTTCTCAGCCCCAAGAAAGCCTGGCACAGTCTTCCTCCCTTCTGCAACCACAAAAAAAAAAAAAAAGTTTTTTTCTTTACAGTTAATAGGAAAATACATCTTTCTAAAACAAGTTTGTATGAAAAGGCTCTCCAGAATGCAACAGCCAGTTTAAATAGACGAGATTTCTAGTGTTCTCAGGCTACGCTCAACAGTTTCCTGCACCAGAACCTCTCCTTAGGCACAGGAGCCTAAAGAGAAAAACTGCAGTGAGCGACTGCCTCAGCTTGCGCTGACTGTGATCCTTCTTTTCCCACAGGAATCTTCAAAGGCAAAACCAACACARTGGCAGGATCTGCTACCTCCTCCAAGATTGCACTGCAGCTTTTTTTGTGTGTGTATATACAGCAGCTTTTTTTGTGTGTGCATACACAGAGGCACCCACATACATGTACAAAAAGGAGTCATAAAGAAAACTTAGTTCAGCAGATTCCACAGATGACTAAACTGGAAATGGAGCAGCTGTGGACCCAAAGCACCTGTAGCTACTGCTTATGAAAGAAAGGTGACAAGATGACATGTCCATTGATAACATGCTTGAAATGCTGTGGTGGACAGGAGGYGGAGCTGCAGGATGGGGCAGAGCTTTAATAAATCAATAAGAACGGACAGTTTGCAGAATCTCACATCTGTTCCATACAGGTGGCTATGTTGAGCCACCTTTCCAACTCCACTGAGTTGTGGAGTCTCYYTCTCTGGAGGTCTTCAAAACCCGCCTGGATGCCGCCCTCTTCCACATGCTCTAGGTGTCCCTACTCGACTATGGGGGTGGGACTAGATRATCTGYAGAGGTCCCTTACAACCATTCTGTGATTCTGAGGCTAGCAAAAATCTCAGGCATCCTTTAGGCACCTCCAAAGTGGACCCTRCACAAAGTGGATGTAGATGGCTACCTCAAGCTAGTTCCATAGAGCCACAAAGCCTCAACAGGAGCAGACTAAGATGCCCTAGGAGGGCTGCTCAAAGAGCCACAGGCTCTCCGTGGAGCGGAGCCTCTCTCCAGAGAGCCWCAGCCCAGGCCCCTGCAGAGCTTCACTCCAGAGGCCTTGCCTGAACTCAGTGTTATCTCCTGGAAAGACAGCATGCTTTACTCACAGCCCACTCACACACATTTCTCCACCACAGTTACTGGCAGTTAGGATGGGGCTATTTAGACCTCGTCTGGATAATACCATGGGAAACACTCATGTTCTAGAAAAGATTGTGACTTAAGAAATTCACCTGGCATCTCCCCTCATGCTCRTCCCAACTCTGGGAGCTGCAGGATTTGTACACGGTACACAGAAATGAGAGACCCACTTAGATAAGAAAAGGTATTTAACAGCTCCAACTGCTACAGTGCTCACTAGCTTGTGACTATATAGAACTAGCTTAAACGCTGGAAAGCAAAGCATGAAAGGAAAATACCTGCAAGATGCAAACAATGAGCAATATCAGTAAAACAAAGTATCACCTGTGGCTGCTGAAAAGAAAGAGCAAGAAAAGAAACCCTGAGAGAAAAAGCACCAACAAACTAAGCAATGAAGCATACAGTTAATGGAAACCTGCACATGAGGCAGACTAATAGGCCTGAAAGTGTTCTGTGGTAGACAGCAAGAGATAAGGGTTGAGAATAACTCACGACTCAAAATGAAATATTAAGGCAAAAGTCCCTCATAGTCAWGTATGGCTATGTACAACCATTCTGTAAATGCAAGTATGGGCAATCATTCTAAGCCAAGCAAACATTTGATTCTAAATTTTCAAGTTTCTAACTGTAGGTTTCCTGACAATAGAGAGAGAGAGAGAGAGAAGACAGGTGCACACACGAATGCTTCTCAGTATTTTCTCCCCAGCAAAAAGGAGAAGGTATAAAGCAAGAAATGACCCAAATGCTATATTTATAGCATGCTTAGATGTTGTGAAATAGCTCTACTCTGCCCTTATTTTCTGTAGAGCTTCATTTTATTAAGTTTCATCATACAGGAAAAGAAAGAAAAGATTTTTTTTTTAATCTAAGTTTTCTTAACTACAGATTTTTAAGTGAACTAATAAAACAGCTGAGTATTCTGATACTTCCCTTTTCTGCCTCTCTATCTCCATACATTTATGGCAGAGCTTGGAAGAGTCAGTATGTAAAAATAATTTTATATAAACAAATATTTATACTTGATGCGATGACTCAGTTGTATTTTATTAAGTACTTAATATAAATTAAGTATAGTGAAAGTATTCTTTCATTATATAACGAACCTCACCAAGTTAAAGGAGATAAACAGATAAATAAAAAAATACTAAGAATCAATTTCAAGAGATGCAGTAAGTAACYCTTATAAAGTCTTTTGGGTCGTACTTCCTAATAGATACTGATAACACCTCTGAGTTGCATTATGGACAGGCTGATGCTACCCTACAGCTACCTTTCATTTTTTAGGAAATCTGCAAATCACAATAATGAAATCAAAACACTAGTTACATCTTATTGACATAAAAATATATGATGCATCTCATCTGGCAGGTATATGTTAGCTCAAATTTGATCTTTTCTATTCAAGTCACATAAGAGAAGATTACATGAGCAGGCTCATTAAACAAATAAGTCCTACAAAAAACCCTATTTGAAAGAATCTGTTATTCATAAAAACACATAAACCATGGGATAATTCCCCTTAATATTTTTCTGAACATGCCCATGAATCATCAGAAAGAGCTGTTATTTTAGCAGTAAAGTTGCTTTTGTAGCTCTTTTTATTCCCCCTCCCCCAACAAATAACGACRTTTCCGATTGGATCTTAAATTTATAACTGGAATGAACCAAGACGCAGCAAGTCTATGAATACGAARCAGATTTCTGCATTCAGAGATTATTATTATTAGTATGCACCATCTTTATACTGTTTTAAAACCTACCATACAAAAAAAAAAATCCTGGCAAGGGTTTTGGCCCTTGTTTTTGTCTTTGGCAACTAATTTCAACAACCCTCTGACAGCTTAAGGAGCACTAGAAGCCATCCCAGTGCAATACACCCCTCTGCTAGGCAGCTGAAGGCTAGTCCTTACTAGCCATGCGAAAAGGAGCAAATCCACAGTAACAATTTCGCCCTTCCAGACTGGCTGAAGAATTTCAGCATACATTAATTTTTAACAGTAAATGATTTGTGGATTCAATCAAAGAGCCACCTATACATTCATTTCCTCAGCACAATTGTTATCTCCAGATGCTCAGTTTATTTATAACACCAGAGGCCTTTAAAAGCTGATTTTACATTCACAAAGACAGACTAATGTGCACACATCTTTACGTATTTATAACGACACAAAACAGGGTCCCTTACAGTTTTCAATTCTGCAAAAATACTGCAGTCATGAATTAAACATCCCCTTGCAAAATTCTCTGGATGGTGTCTGCTTTGGCAAGGCTTTTGGAAACACCTATGAGTTGGAATAGCTCTACATTACCTCCAACCTTAGGCCCACCAGCTGAACCTGGCTTTCTTGCACTGTTTGAAGGATTTCCTGGCTTTTTGGGTGCAGGAACCTTGAATGCTGAAGCAGCTGATGATGGCCTATTTCCATCCACTGACTCTTCATCATCGAAGCTTTTATCTAAAAAGGGACAGATTGATACAACATAATTATTAGAACAGATGYATATTTATTTTCCAACCAGTTATGCTGCTTCACATTTCACAGAAATGGACAAAATGAATAAATAAAAATAAATACTGATTACTTCGTCCTGGGATCAAACCTAGGATTAAAATGACAACCAGAAAGAAATAACCTTTTTTTAACTTTATACATTCCTATAAAATAAGAGCTTTGCCTTCATAATTAGCCACTGTAAGACTAAACATAAAAATGAATCCTACACATGCATTCCCACAAAGGGGAAATATCTTTGCACAGATCACATATTTCTGCTCATTTCTGAATATTTCCCCMAAAATACAAGCCCTTAATGCAATTTTCAGCCATTCTGGTGTACCCAAGAGAAATGCTTCTCCCTTTTCTTCTAACTCCCGCACGTCTTTTCTGCTACACATCCTCCCACAATGTGTCTCCCAGCACTCCCTGTCTCTCCGCTTCCACCCGGATTTGGCAACTCACAGTCGCAGATGCGCTTGCAGATGAGCCGCCTCATTCCTCTGAGCGCTCCCAGGCCGCCTCGCCCCAGGCTGGCCGCAGCTCCTCACATGGCCCCGCGCCGGAGCTTCCCTTGCCTTGCCTTCCCTTGCCTTGCTAGGCGGAGGCGGCAGCCGGAGGCGCCGGGCAGCAGCGCGGCCGCAGCGCTGCCGCTCGCGCCGGCATCTTCCTCCCTCGCCCTGCGCTAGGTGCCGGCGCAGCCAATGGGCGGCTCGGTGACATCATCTGGTGGGAGCCGCGGCCAGGGAAAGGTGGGAATCCTGCGAGCAGCCCCGGCCCTGCCGCACCGYGTAGCGCCCGCCCGAGCCTTCCCCTCCGCAAACAGCTCGGGCAGAGAACACGCCGGGGCCCKCGCTCCTCCGGCAAGCCTTGGCCCCCTTAAAGTGGAGGGAAGAAGGCTTCTCCGGGGACGGGTTAGAACAGACTCAGGAGCCTGTGGCTCCTCTCAGAAATAAAATGGGTGAGGCTGACACAGCTGCAGTGCCAAAGCACCATTTAGCACGTTTCTGTCCCTAMCGCCTGCCATTTATAAAATATATATACGTATATATAAAAGTTATTTAATTGCAGACCTTTGTCAGCTCAGGTGTGCTGGCTCTTCATTTATTCTTTGCCTATTCAGGGTTTGTTGCCAATAAAATGTCAGCGATATTTAATAACGCAGCTGCCCAGAGGAAAGCAGCTTTCATCCAAACACTCAAGCAAGGTTATTTGTCCAAGAGCATTTACAGCAACACCAAGCATTAAACCACCCTGCACTGAATACGTCRGGCATCACCGGTGCTCTGTGTACTTAATAAATAAATTTCTCTGGCAGTAGCAAAGAGCTGCGTGTTGCACTGACAGATCCTTACGAAGGAGAAAGGAAACCAAAAACACAGTAAACACCCAGATGTTCATTGACAGCTTTCTCTAATATTATTTCCTCCCCTCACAACCAGCAATTTTGAAGAGAACGTTGCTAAAAATAATTGGGTTGGGCTCGCTGAACTCCCCGAATCCATGGGAAAGGCCGGGCCTCCCTCCGGCTCCGTGTTGCCATGGGAACGGCACTGTATCCGAGCGGGAGCGCTGGGGAGGAGCTGCTGCCATCCGTGCTCCCCGCGCCCGGAATGCGCAGCCGGGCGGCGGGGGCTCTTCCAGGGGGGAGCCCCCCACCCTACACCAAGCACCGAACCCGAGCACCGCCAAAGGGGTCGGGGAGCAGTGGTTAATGTCCAGAGGACAAGGCTACGTGTTATTTCAAAATGGCAACAGGGTGGGATTTTCAATGGCACGAACGGATCAGTGTCACGTGAATTACTACCAGAAGAATATGCTTTGCAAATAACTATTTTTTGCTGATGCTTTTTTCTGTGTGATAATAAAGCAGCTACGCTCGCATGTTACTACCCAATAGTGCTGCAAGGTGGCATTTGACGGGCAAATATTGCTAGGTAGCCTTTAAAAAAAAATGAAGTTATTTATAGCACAATTTTAAACACAGTGTTTCTTATGTTCATTTCTGCACAAGCTCCTAATGTTAAGAAAAAACTCACTGGCCCCAATCCCCTGTACACTGCATCCACATGGTCATAGGCATTAATTTGACTGCATTCTGACTACTCCCTATGAAAGAAGACTCAAAAAGGAGAATTGTAAAAGTTTTTGCTCAACTTAAAAATGTTTAAAGGACCTATATCAACTCTGACTTTTCAGGCCAACGTGATAACACCTTAAGAAGCTATAAGCCAGATTAGGAAAATCCTGTGCCATCTTTTATAGGAACTGGAAATTTTCTCCACCCTATTGGGCCTTGCCTTGTGCACTTCCTTGAGCTTTATTAACAACAGAACCTAGCTGATCTTCAGGGACTTTTCAGTTGCAAAAAGAGGAATAACAACATTCATGAGCATCTGAAACCTGAGCTCTGCATTTACAGAMGGTACCTTTAAAAGGAAAGCTTTATCTGCTTCAAGTGGTAGGTGCTTTCCATGTGCTCTCACCCAATACATTCATTTTAATCTTTCCTAGGAAAGCATTTCCACATACGTGCGCATGCAGAACTGCACTTGAYGGAGCTGTTATTCCGTGTGGTATCATCAAGGTGCGATTCCACTGCCGCCCATGGAGCTGAACCTGCTCAGTGCCTTCCTGGAGCGTACGGAGCGGGGCGAAGCCCCCACTCGCGGCCCTGGGAAGCTGCTGGGAGGGCTGCTGCGCAGCGGGGCTCGCGGCAGCACCGACGCGCTGCGGTTGTGCTGCTGCAAGCAAAAGYCACCTCTGCAACGCAAGTCACAAAAGCTAAGCCTAAGGTTTTYGACTGTATTTAATCCGAAGAACGTAAACTTTCTCATTCTGAAGTGGCTTTGAGCCAAATATCTAGAAGTTTTTGCTGGAAATATTAAAATAATTTTAGAAGCCACATACTTTAAGGATATCGAATTTTGCACTCTTAAAGGTAACTTACGGCTGTGAAAATACCATCCAAAACCAAGTTTTGAAGTTACCAAAAAACTGGAATAAAGGAAGTTATATAATTTGCTAGCAATGTACAGAATATTTTAAATGAAGAAAAAAAACCCACACACAATTAACGAAAGGCTCAATCACAGTTAAATCCCACACATCTGTTCTCATACTCTTCATTTTAAAATCACAAGAGACAAAAATGAGTACTGGAGGGAGAGCACAGCCGCCTCTCCCCTCCCTTCCCCCCAAAAAATCTTGGAACCTAATACTCCCAGAAGCTCTTTTCCACATGAACAACTTCCAGGCAAAAGAAAATAAATAAATAAATCATTCATATGTTTAGAAAGTTGCAAGTCCCAAGGATTACAAGGCTCATCTTCTATCCAGTAAAGAAAAAAAAACACGGCATGCTAGGTGACTATTCTGCAGGTACTACACAGAAAGTTCCCTGGCACCTATGGAATGCTGAACATTACTTTTACAAAATCAATTTGAGAAAGTTAACAGCAAATAATACCAATATTTCATTTTTTTTTTCTGTATGTAAGAGGACATATATCAGGGCCTAGATTTTACTCAGGATTCACAGCTTGGAGTTTACCCAAATCTTAAACTATATCTGGACACAGCTGTCTGCTTTGAAATACCAAAATATACCAAAWTTTGGAACCACAGATTTTTGAACTGAAATATGATTAAAAGATCAGTGATAACTTTCTGTCTTGGCTACCAGATCAGTATTATGTAAGACCTGTTCTAAAGGTGTTCAGACATACCAAAAGTCAAACAACTACAATCAATCTACATCCAAAGAACCTTCCAGCACCCTCAAGTGCTAAAAATTTCTAAATAATCCATGGAGTAATAAAAGTAGTCACAGATGTATCACAAGGCATAACAGAATCTACAACTTACCTAGAAATAAAAATAGTTTATCATTAAAGAAAACTGAAAATATTTACTGCCACCACAACTCCACTCTTTACTGCAGTTAGTCCGAAGATTCACAAAATTAACATGATATTTAATATTTAACATTTTGTAAATCAGTCAGTGACAGAGAAAAAAAGAAACAGTATCATCTGTATATCAGTAGAAATAGAACATCTGTAGTTACTGGTGCTACTTGGAAGGACTCAGCTGGAAGACAAGAGATACCTTATGCACCCTAAGTATCCCTATGGGTGGAAGGCAAATGGGGAGCTGAAGCAAGAGGAAGAAGAAAAAAATAAGCAGTGATTCCTTGCAGTAACACTGAACCAAAACCAGGTTTAAAGGCAAAGAAAAGGCTATGGCTATGTCAGCATTGGGATTTAACATTCCTAGTGGTACTAAGCTCCTGATTACTCACATGCAGCATTCTACAGTAGATTGACAGCAGTCAAAGGATATTTTGCTGAAATTGCTTCTAAATTTTGGATTCTGATGTAAGGTACCACAGCTATATTYGTTTTTCCCTTCCAGTAATGCTAAGAGACACTAAACATTTTTTGAAGTGCTGCTAGCAGCTCCTCCTTTGCACCACAAGYGGCTTAGAAGGACCAGACATCACAGCAGAGGTGTGCCCAAGCAGGATGGGGACAAGCAGAGCTTGTCACTCCCACTCCTAATGACCTAAGTCACTCCTACATTCCCCAAGTCACTCCTACACCCCCYGCCTACCGAGAGCGGCCAAGGCCCGGGGATTTAGAAAGCCTGGCTGCGCCAGTTATTCGGAACATCTGGGACAGGATCTTCGCTCCGTTCCAGATGAACTGCTGCAGCCTACAACAAATAATTTATCTCAACCATGAAAATGAAGCCACGAGCACCACAGATGCATTAGGTTAGCTGATCCTTCTAATCCAGCCTTCATGCCAATTGTCCCACAGGATTCAATGAGCGCTTTATCCCTTACACATCAGGCATTCCCTGCGGGGGGATTCTGTTTGTCCTAACGTGTAGGGTAGGGCTCAGTTGCCAACACAGCCATCTAAAACGAGCGTAGCCAGTGCAGGGCATCCTGCCTG